CCAACGGTTAATGATATACGGATCGAAAACGAGGAAGAACTGATCAGAGCCGTCGGTACCGCCAACGACAATGATGGGGATTTTCAGCATATAATGACACAGACCAACGGTACCGCCAGCAGTAGCGCTGCTGCTGTGGCTTCATTACGGAAGAGCTATCTGCACGGTATCTCTGATACACCGCTGCTGTTTGATACAGTTGGTGATCGTCTACGACTTGCAGCCACTGTTGTAAGTTTTACAGATTCCAGAAAACAGCTTTAGCCATAAACAATTCCTTTCATTTGTTTTTTTTTAATTTTCTTCATCTTTTTCCAGCCTTATTTTCGACTCATTTTTCTTGTCTATTTTTGTCCTCTTAATAAAATTTACATTTTTTTTTACTCAAAATGCCAAAAACAGAAAGATGGAGGAGAAAAGAGAAACAATTAAAATTCCATTTTTCACTGCGTTCAATAAACACAACTGTTTTTGTATTTTCTAAGCAATTATTTGTGTGACATTTTTAGAGTTAAGAAAATGAAGGGGAACAAAACAGAAGAATAGAAAAATAAATGAAAAGTGAAAAAAGAAATTGAGTCAAAAAAAGTTTTGTTAAAATTTTAGTTTATCAGTATTCGGTGGTCATCTGGTGAGCATCGCTTAATTATCCAATATCTGATAAGATTTTTAGCTGTAACGGTTTGTTATCAATACAGATACATTTTATGCATACTGTTTTTGGTTGTTTGATCAACTCTTAAAACTTAGAGATAGTCAGTTTCCATTTTGGTAAACCACAGTTTTAAACACGTTTTTTTTTGGTGTTAAAGTATTTTTTTTTCTATTTTTTCTGCAGAAACTAAATAATAGATGAGCTTAGATGGTAATGATAAACTAAGAAGAATAAAACTTACCAAAGGAAATTTTTGAAGTCATAAAAATTTACTTGATTTTATAAAACTATTTCAAGTAACTTTGATTCTTGTCGATGACATTGTCTTATACTTTCTGTATGGCGTTTTTTACTTCTTTTTATAGGTTTTAAGTCTTGTTGAAACAATTTTTTGTCAAGGAAAAGTAACGTTTGGTAGAATTTGCTGAATAAATGACAGGGTTTAGTTTGGTATCTTGTGTCGATTATGAACCAAGTTTTATTTTGGCTTTTTATTTCTATCACTACAGTTACTGTTACTTCCTCCTTGCCCACCTTCCACTCAAAAAGAATGTCATTATTGTCACCACAATTTTGTAAACAGAAAAAAAATATAAGTAATGAGAAAAAAAATTGAAATTTTTTTGAGAAAGTAAAACAAAGAATGAATAAAGGAAGCGTTTCATCATCTTGTTTTAAGGTTTTGTAAGTATCAATGTTAGTGTGTAGTTTGACTCTCCTTTTTTTTCTTTTCCTTGTACTTTGCCTAGAGTTTAATCACTGCTCACAGGTACCTGATCGAGAGTATGCTATATTCAAGAAGAGTGGTATTCGTAAAACCTATCGTCAGTTGTTGTACGATGTATGTTAGTTATGTCAAGAAAAAAAAATTTATTATTATCATTACAATAATAAGGTTTTTAAGAAGAAAACAACTGATGATTCTACACTGACAGTATATAGATGGAGTTCTTTTAGTGTGAAAAATTGGCAGCTGGTTTGTTGCATCTGGGTTTAACACGAGGAGACAGAATTGGTATGTGGAGCCCAAATATTTATGAGTGGTTAGTTTGCCAGTTCGGAACTGCAATGGCCGGGATGATCATGGTTCGTTGTCACGGTTTCAGCATTACTTCCGATCAAAAACAGTTTTTTTCAATGAAAAATTTAATTGTTTGAGAACGACTATTGCCAACAATAAATGAGCATCCAGATAGTCCACTAATTACAAGCTAAAGTTCATCAATGATAACTGTTCAGGTGAACATTAATCCGATGTACCAGTCAGAAGAATTAAAATTTGCGTTACAAAAAGTCGGGATAAAAGCACTGATTGCTCCGCCAAGTTTTAAAAGATCCAATTATTATGCTTCAATTTGTACTGTTATGCCAGAATTAACAACCAAACCAGAAGGACGTGGTGATATCAGTTCAAAAAATTTTCCAAATTTTCGACATTTAATTTTGGTTGATACAGAAGATCCGACACCACGACGGTAAAATTAGTTTCTTTTTGTTCTTATCATTTTTTATTGAAATTAGAACTGGGCTATTTGAATTTTTTTGTTGAGTATTTTTTTTGGAAATATACTGTGAAGATCTAATTTTTTACTTTGTAGAGGCGCTTGGGTATACTCAGAGGTTGTAAATATGGCAAGTAAAGAAGATTTCATGAATTTACACCAAATATCCAGATCAGTACAGCCAGATGATCCAGTAAATATACAGTATACAAGTGTAAGTGGTATTTTTTCTTTTTTTATTTTTTTTTTCTTTATCTGTATCTTAAAACTGGTGACCGTTTACAGAAATTCAATAGTTATTGTTTTTCGTTGTTGTTATCATTTTTAGGGCACAACTGGACAACCAAAAGGTGCCACATTGACACATCATAATGTTGTGAACAACGCTTATTTTGTTGGAAAACGAGCCGGATATGGTGAACGGGTAAGATTTTTTGAAAATCTTTCTCAGTTCAATTAATGAAAGAAATTATTGATCTAAGAGAAAATGAACAAAAAAGATTATAATTTGTCTAATTTTTAGCATCGGAGTGTAATATTATTTGTTGATAAACTAATAGCCTTATTGTACAGTACAATAGAACTATTACTGAAATAATAATAATAATTAACAGTTGTAATCTCATACGAAATGGCTTCAAAAAAATTTGAACAGTTTTTTACGTAACATGTGTTTAACAATTATTTATACAAAAAATTATAGTCTAATTTTGAAGTAACATTTCTGCAACACCACTCAGATACCAAGTTATCCAAAGTTTTTCTTTTTTCCTTCACGTTTTTCGCATTCAATGCATAATTGTTACAATTTTTAGCGATCGGTTATATGTGTTCCAAACCCTTTATACCATTGTTTTGGATGCGTCATGGGAACGCTGTGTGCTTGTATACATTTTCAAACTTGTGTATTTCCAGCACCATCGTTTGAACCACTTGCTGCATTGCAAGCAATTCATGAAGAAAAGTGCTAATTTTATTATATAGTTTTTTTTACACTAACGATCATCAAATCAGTAGCGTTTTGCATAACCAATGTTTATGGCAAATCATAAGCAAATTTTTGTCATGCGAAAAAATTTATTTCTTATAGATGTACAGCAGTATACGGTACACCAACAATGTTCATTGATATGTTAAACCATCCTCAGTATAATCAGTATAACTACAGTTCAATTACATCAGGTTAAAATAAATGATAATAGAATTTTTCTTACATGAACGCTTCTACGAACTTTCACTGGCAGTTGTTTGGCGCAACATGAAAAAATAACTCATCTTAAGTTACAGGAATCGTAGCAGGTTCACCATGTCCTATTGCTTTATGCAGACGTCTGGTTACTGAACTTGGAATGCAAGGTTTACAGGTACAATGTTCACTGTACTTATTTTTTTTCTTGTTTCTAATCAAAACAACTTCTTTAGGTTGAACCCTTAAAGCTCTAAGTTGTACTGGTTTACACCTATATGGTTTAGGTATGTTATGGAACAACGGAAACTAGTCCAGTGTCATTTATGTCCAAGTGTTCTGATCCTCCAGAGCAGCGTATCAAAACCGTTGGGCATATAATGGACCATCTTGAAGTAATAACCAGTTTTTGACATCCAGAAAATTTCGTGAGGCGCCTTATCTCTTTAAAAAAATTGATTTTGAAACTCTCAGTTTTTGTAATTTTTTTAAACAATGAATAATTTTTCTGCAGTCTCTTTGCTATTTGATTTTTTCTGTAATGAATTATATAATTTTAGGCTGCAGTGGTTTCTGCAGACGGTACTATTCTACCACTTAACGAAAAAGGTGAAGTATTAGTAAGGGGTTATTCGGTGATGCGTGGTTACTGGGATGCAGATGAGCAAACCTGTGCAGAAATTACTCCAGATCGTTGGTATCATACAGGGTAAGAAAAAATTTGCTGTATTTCATGCAGCCAATAGAATGTTTGCCAGTATATTCCTAGGATTCTATAAAAAATTAAATTTTTTGTTGTATTATACTTCAAGATCAATGTCCTTAATTAAACTTACTGTCCACTTGTTCTAAATGAGAAAATAAATCAGGGATCTTGGTGTTGCGCATGAAGACGGCTCTTTGAGTATCGTTGGGAGAAAAAAGGATATGATTGTTCGAGGTGGAGAAAATATTTATCCTACTGAAATTGAGCAATATCTTTTTAGGCATCCACACATTAAGAATGTACAAGTAAGAGTTTTTATTCTCACTTTGCAGCCAAATAATTTTGCTTGTTGCTGTTTTTGGAGCTGTGCTTTGTCAAGAAACCGAAAACTAGTTGTATTGCTCTGTTTTCAGATTGTTGGAGTGCCTGACGAACGTTTTGGAGAGGTAGTTTGCGCTTGGATAACACTAAAAGAAGGATCTCCAAAAGTTACAGAAGACGATATACGCGACTTCTGTAAAAGCAAGGTAACGATCGATTTCTGGGCTTTATAAATTAGGGTTTACGGTTAGATAATCTGTAGAAATTAAAATGATAAAAATCTGCGCTATTTTATGCCGTAAACTGTTTACAGATTGCTCATTTCAAAGTTCCTCGATATGTTATGTTTAAAAAGGAAACCGATTTTCCGATGACATTGTCGGGTAAAGTCAGAAAATATCGGATACGTGAATTGGCGACTGTTGAACTTGGACTCCAGAATGTCGAATCGCATTTTAACGCTGTTTAAAAAAAAAGCCGTTATTTGAAGCCAAAATCTCCACAATGAATGTCGTTTAAACAAGGTAAACGGATATGTGTACATAAAAGGTGTATTTGGTTGTGAAGTTGTTGTTTTTTCTTCTTTTTTTGTTTCTTTTTTTTGCGCTTAATCAACGCGTTTCTCAATGCGATTAAATCTCACTGACATCGGACTATCGAGCAACCAAATATGCCTTCAGATCTGCTGGACGGGTTTCTGAATCACATTATAGAGAAATGTTTGGAGGCAGATGATGCATGGAAAGATTGAAGGCGTGAAGTTGTTTGATGCTCATGGGTGAAATCTTATTTTAAGGTTGTGCGATTAGGATGAAACATTTTTTTAATCATTACTTTCATTTTTCATCATTTTTTTCCACCTATTTTTCTGTTTT